TTACAATCACTGAACTATTTGGTTACCATAGCAATCACAGAAATCCCAGAAATCACACCCATCATAAATTATGGAAACTTTTAAGTATTAAAATACTCACCTGCTAAGGGTGGACCACCAGCCAGTGCAAAAGAACACAACAGGCATCCAAATCCAAATGCGGCATCCCGTCTGTCAGGCCCAACAATACCAAGAAGAATCACATTTTGTGATGTTATGAAAGCTCCATCTGAGAACCCAAATACAGCAGTGTATAATGCGAGAAACAAATAACTTTTAGCGAGAGGTAGAAGCAAGGTAGCCAGGCCAGCAAGAGTAATTCCCAGCTGATTTATGTAGCATATATTGACCCATTTGACATCACACAATCTACCAATCAGGAGTCTGGCTGCACCCGAAGAGATTCCCAGGAACATGTAAAAATGAGAAGCTTTATCAGCTGGGATGTTTAGTTCTTCACTGTACTTGACCTGGGAAAAAAAGCAAGACATCATCATGCACTATTATATAGTGATGTTTCAATTATTGACATTATTGTTGTTATTGTCATTCTTGCTGGTGTTGTTGGTATCCTTGTTGCCATTACTGTGCATGCACCTTAGTTGGGTGCAGAGATTAAAGTAGTAGAGTAAAGCTGCTAGAATAATTTAATATTCTCCCAACTTGATACTTCAATTTGGAAAGAAGTTGGATGCAAATCACTCGTGAACTAAAATCCTGCTAAGACATCTTGGACACTTCACTTTTCTGTTATTGATGGTCTTTGCCTTACCTTCCCCCTCCCCACCCCTAACACGATAGACCTTTTTGCTGATTTGGTGGCCATTTTGAATTCCATTGTTTCAAAATATAGCTATTATGGGATGCTTAGGGGGCAAACACATAGAAATCTTAATATGGCCTATTATGCCACACATGGATTCAACCTGGACACCCATTGTACTAGGGGAAATGAATTTTAGAAAATTGAATAAATTGACCCTCACTTTTCATTTCAAGACTTTTTGACTGTTTGATATATTGTCAGGGATCCCAAGGACTTTTGGTTATTTAGCTCACCTGTAATGTAATCACTTACCAGGTGGACACTGGGAATGAAGCGGCACATGAACATTAGCGTGAAAGAAGCGACAAGGATGCAGTATTGGGGAATCTTCCACACCGAAAAATCAAGAATCTTGAACTTTTTATTTCCTGTTTGAATCTTTGCACTACCATCATCATCATCCTGATCATTTGGCTCGGTCATTTCGTCACAGGTATCTTCTGACATCTTATCCTTCTCCTCTATATTAGGATTAAAGGGGATGGCTAAAAGCAAGATCAGGGTGCAGGAAAGTGCCATGACTCTAAAAGTGTCTCTCCAGCCAACAGAGTCAAGAAGCACTTGAGTCACAGGGCCCCAAATAAACATCCCTAATGAGGGGCCCATGGTAACACTCCCCGTAGCAAAGGAACGTTTCTTGTTGAAGTATTTTGCCACCATCAGAAAGCAAGAGGTACGACAAAAACTTGCTCCGAGTCCAGTGAGAACACTGAAGGTGAAGAACATGATCTTGATATCATTCACAAATGATGTTGCCGTAAGTCCTGCTATGAACAAAAGTCCTCCAATGATAACTCCAAAGCGACAACTCAACTTCTGAGAAAGACGTCCCACCAACGGTGCAGCAAATAGTGATAGTGATAAGGCAAAGGAACCTATCCATGCTGAAAATGATAAATTATGTGAAACACATGGTGTTAAGTGTAGGTTCAGTTCCATAATTTTACAGTTAAACCCCCTCCTCAAAATGATGCTTTTTTGACTTTCTTTCTGATTTCAAGGTGGCTGTCCTGGTGTGGTGCTTGGCAGGGAGCAATAAATTAGACAAATTAACCAACTAATCCTTTGAAGCAGGGCTGTCATTAAGGGCTGTAACCCATAACACCAGTTATAGCCAAGTATGCTTCATATATTTTCCCTTGATGCTAAGGGTGAAATTGCCTGTTGTTGATATAATTCAACCACAAAGTAACAAGTGTGGAGAACGAGGTCACAGGTGACTCAAAACTTAATGACAGCCCTGTGAAGGGTCAATTTTTGAAAACTGATTGTGTGGGAAAGGGTACTTGGTTATTACTATCATCATAGCTGGTCAAACACAACAGAATACATGCCAGAGCTTTGCTGGGTACCAGGTATTGTTGACAGGACTGAAAAAGTAGCTGCTTTTTCAAGGATGCAGTGAATAATATAATTTAATCTAAAAGCATATTATATAAAACAAATAGATTCCATGTTGCCGTGCGCCTGTTCAGTAGTTCACAGACGATGTCAAAATGTAGTAAGAACATCTGTGACATACTTGGCTGTTGCCTCATGGGTAATTGTGAAGAAAAGCTCCCCAAAAAAAACCGGTCGGCCATCTGTTGGCTGACTGTTTGCCATTTTGAGTTTTAGAAAACTGTTGGTAACCTGTCAGTAGCCTACTCAGGCAGCTTGTTGGTAACCTGTTGGTAACTGCTCGCCAACAGAAGGCCAAAAGGTTTTTTGTTTTGGAAGCTCTTCCTCACAATTACCACCTCAGTTGTCACTTGCCTGTCCTCTCTCTGCTGGTTTCAAAGTCTGCCATTAAGACAGGGAACAACACTCCAAAACTGCGCAAAATTCCCATGAAGAGAACTTGACAAATTGTCGCACAGATGCACACAACTACCGACCACTGAGAGTCCTGCTGGTGTGTTGCTTTGACACAACAGTGAAATATGCTGAACATATTGCAAACCTGCAATAAATGTAACAAAAAAGGCATATTTGTAACATTGGTAAATAAAAAAAATTTAACAGAAAACTTTATTCTCAGGTCATCATATACGATTCATACAGCTGAACCTCACTACATTGTACCTCAAACATTTAATTGTTGGAGGTTCGAGACAGTAGCTAGGTGACTGAAAAAGTTATCCAAGAACCCAGGGGGTAGGACTGCCATATTAAAATGACGGGGGGGTGCTCGTCGTACCTTTTAGGGGTTAAAAAAGCGGTTTTGGTACCTCTCAGGGCGTTTAGCCTCCTCTACAGTGGAAGCTTTTGCGGAACCGTTTAGGGTATTGAGCGAAAAAAATATCACAGG